GCCTTTTACCAAAATTCCTTAAAATGTTTGGTCTACAAAAGCCCCCCTACTTTGGAATAGTTTCGAGAATATCGATTGAAGAACGTCGGTCGTGGCTTACCTGCAATGGCTCTTAAGAGCCATTTCCTAGGAATGTCAGACAGGTGCAAGTACTGACAGTGTCAGATTTGACTGACAACTTTACCACAAATACTAGCCGTCAAAGTAAGGTTATGAAAAGTTTTTTAACCCTCCAGACCTTTCCTTCCACAGATATGAGTGCCACAGGTCGCGAAACCGAAATACGCAAATTTTTTTTACAAAAAATCGATTTAATCAAAAATGCGAGGTGCTCGACATCTGAGATTTTGACCAAAGATTGAATTAGCCTGAGTATATGTGGTAAAAAAAATCATATCAAAAAACGGTTTCACCGACCTCAACGAACGACTCAAGAGCCGGATCGTATGTCCACGCAAATTGAGGAGAGGCAACGAATGCGATCAAATGGTCATAGTGTTGCTCAGAGTCAGCGTCGAAAACTGATCTAGATCATATCAATTTACGCTTAAATCGATTGATTTTTTTTTGTCCTGGAAATCGGTGAACACGAAATTGATATGGTCTAGATCAGTTTTTGATGCTGACTCTGAACAACACTATGAGCATTTGATCGCACTCACTGCATCGCCTCAATTTGCAACGATATTTTCAGAAACAAATATTTTAATGAACTGTGGATTTTTGTTCTCTGAAGAACAAAAATATGATTTATGTTTATTTTTCTTCTGCAGTAAAAGAACAAAAGCTACGTTCTCTGAAGAACAAGTATTTGTTTTTTGTTCTTTATAAAAATGCAGAACCAGTTTTTTGAATAACAAAAGCGTGAAAATAGGCTAAAGAACATATATTCTGCTCTTCAGTTTTCAAAGAATCCATTCACGTTCTTCATCATATTCTCCAAAGGACGGAGAACACAGATTTTTAACAGAGTAGTTTAACAATGGATTTCAATAGATAGAAACTCGAACAATATAACTTAGTTCAAAGTACAAATAGATGTTGACAAACAGAGTCTTGATCAACTAGAGGACAAGAAACAGATCAACCACAAGACCCATGTGGCACTTTTTTTGTGATTACCGTCGGTTCACCGTGGTTCGAAAAACTACCGTCGCTAAACCGTACCACTCTGTGAAAAGTGTGGTTTAGCGGCGATTATTTTCTATATCACGGTATGACAAAATACCGAGCCGTAAACCGATTTTTACATTCACCATTTTGTTTTGCAGTAGCCGTTACATATAAGCAATACCAAAAACTTGAGTTATTTTCAGATAAAATTGTTTTTTATTAGTTTTCAGACTCGGTGAAATTTAAATTTCGACTCGAGTCGAACGTTCTACTATTTTTTTGTTTTTTAGTAAAAGCTGAAACCAGTCTGAATACTGTTTTGGATAGCCCGAAGCCTTTTCTATCAGATGATGTGCATATCGCCGTTTCATGAGAAAATTTGATAATAGGGTTTCTGGAAAACCTGATCGCTAGAAAACCAAGTCCTTGCTTTTTGATTAGAAAATTTTGCAAATCAGACAGCCTGATAGAGCAAAGAAGTCTGAGGAAAATATGACATCTCTAGGCTATCCATAAGGCTTTTTCACGCAACTGCAGTCGATTTACGAATGACTACAAAAGGCGTGGAAAATACCAAAACATTTCTGTGACAAAGTCTTATAGGCAGCCTGGAGATGTTATATTTTCCTCAGAATTCTTTGCTCTATCAGGCTGTCTGGTTTGCAAAATTTTCTATACAAAAGCAAATTCTGTTTTTAATCTATATGCTGTATGAAGGATAAGGTTGTGCTATTTATTCGCTGTTACTCTTATTGATTTTTGGCTCTAATATCAGCTCATTGTAAGTACCAATCAACCTTTAAAAAAAAACATGTATATACTGGCCAAATACTGTTTTATATGGTACGAAACTTACTCTAGAACAATAAAAACTGCAGGATCGAGTATTAGATCCAAAATATGTCTGTTTCTCCATATCTTTGTTTTTAAAAGAGGGAGTTTCATTTCAATTCATTGATTTGTTAGCAACTTATCGTTGCATTTTGTATGATATGATTTTATCAATAATAACTGTGCGAAGAAAAACAAGTATTTTCTTTTTTTTTCTCTTCTTGTTTTTATATATTACAATTTTTATTGGATCGCATAACATACGAGAAGAAAAATAGAGAAAAGAAAAAATATTTCCACACTATTTATACAAGAAGATATCTTTCAGAAGAAAACATTGAATCAATAATAGAATAATTATGAAATGAAATTGTCGTTTTTAAAAATACAGGTATGTGTAATTATTCAACTATTCTAGTATTTTAACTACGCTCGTAGTGTAAAAACTAGAAATCATAAAATAAATAGCAAAATCATTTGATAGTTGATTGAAATTTATTAACTTAGAGCTAGATGAAATTATGTAAGACATATTTTCACACCATTTGATAGGAAAGTAAAAGTATTTTACTAATTAATCATGAAAAATAGTCTCTTCGACTCATTGCTATTAGAAAATCATTAAAAAAACAAATTCTTCAGGTTTTATAATAATAAAAAAATCCTTGTCTACAATAGAGTACAAAATCAATAAGCAATTTAATAGACTTAAAATGCTTGTAAGCCCAGTCTTTTACTCCAAGAGTTTGTATTCTATATCAATCTGATCACAAATATATCATCTCATATACATGACGTGATTTACTATCCTTTTCGTCAATTAGTGGACACTATTATTATGAGTGTAAATATCTTCAGTATGAATTAATCATCACCCTTATGTTCTAAGTATTCCATTTTTCACACCATTTTTATTTATTTTCATAAATTTACTCATTGTTGAGACATTTTTTCACAGTTATTATATACAGTGACTGTCTGAAGTATGAGATTATTTTAATTAAAATAAAATGGATTTAACATCTTATTTTCAATAATCGGTTAAGTAACCAATTTATGGCACACGTTACTGCATATTGTAAATACAAAGAATGAAAAGCTAGCAACCATATGGTTAGATCATCAAATATTATCCACTTATAACTAAAAAGGTTAACCATTTTCATTGCTTGTCAATTGTATGAAGCTATTGCATAGACTGATTATCTCTAACCAATATTAAAAAATTTAATCAACTATCTGATACATTCTTATCGATTTTGTACCATGATTAATTCTATTTGTATTAAAAATATTTTATTTTAATTTAGAATATAAAAATGGCAAAATATAAACGTTATTGTTTGAACGAATTTAGATCAAAAAATGTGCTAATTCAACAAAAATTAGATCATGAACAAAGTCAGTCATTGAAGTTTTATAATAAAAATAAATATCGTCGACATCAGCCGATTATGAAATCAAACGATGGTGACTTTATACCAATAGCTTCGTCGACACTATGTGAAGATGATAATAGGCAACAATCTTATTCATTCATATCGGTAGAACATGCAAGTTCAATTAATAATACTTCTTATCTAAATGAATGTAAGAAAACATATGTTAAATTGTTTAAACTTTAATTTTCATACTTTTTTAAAGAAAATCTTGTTTTAATACGAAAATTATTCATTCAACCAATAGAGTGTAATAATAGCGGATCTTTTAATACTGGTGTATTAGGTATAGTGCAAAAATGCGTTGATTTAAGACCCACTTAATAAGCTGCTCGAAACTTATGGAAATGATAGATGTTTGTTGTACAAATTGAACGAATATGAATTTAATTACATGATGTACTGGTACATGGAATAGAAAACTTAATCTCTTTTTTTTATCTTTCTACAATCACCACATACTGATTAAGCCAATATTGTTCGTTCGCCCTTCTTGTGTCATCGTTATTTTAACATATATATGTTTGAGTTATACATTCTACTTGAAATCTCAACATGATACTAGTATATTTTGTTTTGATAGAAGAAAAGCTATCAAAATTGTCAAGTAGTTGATTAACTGTATTTAATCAAAATTTTTTCATTTTTTATTTACAGATTTGTTCAAACAAACACCATCAACTCCTGCCATAGTATCAATATCACCCACAGTTAATTTTAATTTTAATGTTCGATCATGTAGTACACCAATTCGTTATTCAACAACATTTACTCAACATGTTAAATATTTAAGACAAAAAATTTTATATGGATATAATAAACATTCAACTTATTTAAACAAAAAACGACGTATATCATTATCATCACATCATAAATTTACACTATCACCATTAGAAAAATCATATAGAAAAACAACAGTTCCCCCATTGTCATTTGGTCAACAACTTCTAAATTTTACTTTTAATGAGAAAACACGACAACATAATAAAAATTTGAAAATATGGATTTTATAAAATAATCCTTTTTTTGACAAAAATTAATAAAATTCTTTTCTAGAATCTTCAGTTTTCAAAAATGTTTTTGTTTTTTTTACAATTTTATTCTTCATTATTAACATAGATCATTTTTGAATATGTCGATTATTGAGACTTTATTTTCTTGATTACAGAATGTATGATACTTTATAACAACATACAATCAGTTCTCATTTTGAGACAAGCTACTTTTACAAATCAAACTATTTTGATGGCACGTGAATTGAAATCATCTGAACTGTAGTGGTCTAAATTATTTTGCAATTTTGTTGTCTACATCAATATGAATGAATTTGAAGTGCGGTATTTATCAAAATAGAGAAGATTAAAATAATAGGATAAGATGATAGTCTATACGTCATGTGATGGTTTGAAAGTAATAAAGCGTAAATGAAGAACAGAATCATTTACTTAGTAGGATATCATTTTCAAGAAGCGAATAAAAAATATAGTCAGCTACTACTGTTTAACTTTTTTGTCGAATGTAGTTAAGATTAAAATTGCGGCAATCAAATATAATTCTCTTCATTCTAGAGTTAGAATGAAAAGAAAAAGAATCATGATTTCACTTTCGAACTCGGAAGTGAAAAAATATTTTTTTTGCACACAATAACGAATTATCGAAGCAGAATTTGTTTTATCTAAGAATGAAAGAACATTGAATGTAACTAGTTTATTAATTTGAACAGAAGATTTTATCTATATTGTGTCGATCAACATTTCCTATTAGTTTGATCCAGATCGTACACTCATGGCTACCAGACAGGTTTCTGATCGAGGGAATCAGAAGTGAGAGAGAAACCATCTTTTTTTTGTTTTTTGAATCAGAAAGATTAATTTGGATTTTTTAAAATACCGAAACTTTTTGGAATATGATCAGGAAGGTTTAGACCGATTCAATAATTCGAATTACCAACAGTCATAGATCTAACTGTGTCCCATTTATACCTTTAAATGAAATAAATTCTGCTTTCTTAAAATCTTCCTCAAACCTGTTATTTACCATCAAAACTTCCATTTTTATTTTTGGCTTTGGTTTTTCCCATGGAAACAGTGAATAAAAACAGTAGGCAACGAAATAAAAATCCCATTCTACATTTTCGGAATGAAAAAAAGCAAAAAAAAAAGATGCGCAAAATACTTGAGTTAAGTAAAAAATCACAATAACAACGTATATCTCTCCTTTTACAAAGAGATATTCATAAAATCTTATTGCGATAATTCTGAACAACAACATCTAATATCTCTTCACTCTATTTCGGTTACTCCTCTTCTAAATTATATTTGTGTTTTTCATTTTTTCATCGACGATATCTATCTATATATTTTTTTCTTGTATTTTATATCTGAACAAAAAGCAAAACATTAGATTATTTCTTAAATTATATTTAAATAAATTTTTATATCTTGGATCAAATTATTTGTTCATGTTTATTTGTGTGTGATAGCAAAAAAACTCTTTACTATAATTATCGAAACAAAGAACTATAAGAACAAATGAACACGATTAATATGGAAGAAATTAGGCTTGATTTAGATCAAATGAATAACAATGCTCAACAACAGAAAAAAACTATTCATACAACAAGAATAAAATTTGATGTAAAATTAATGAATGAAATATTACCGTGGACATTTATGTCAAGAAATGTACATGATGCGGCTATTGAAGGACGAACAAAGGATATTGAAGATATGGCGAAAGAGGGAGCAGATATGAATGAGCCAGATGATGTTGGTGAGTGACGTATAATCATTGAAAACAAATAAATTTAACATTTTTTTTACTCTTCATGTTTGATAAATACTGATGTATAAGCTTCACATCTACTTCACTTCGATGTGTAATATACACGCATCGAATATCCTTGACAAAACCTTACACACATTCTATCTGTTTCCTACTAAAATTCTATAGAATTCTAACAGAATCGCAGTAAATTCTTCGACTTTCGGGTTTATCTCGGATTTCATTCAAATTCCAAAGGAGATTTTAAAAACCCCGCAGTAAAATTATAATAGAATTCTGATAGGATATATCTAAGATTCTGTCAGCCAAATACAATATTAAACATGATTTTACCATTAATTATCTTAGGTAATACTCCCATGTGGCTAGCGTACATGAATAATAATCTCGACACCGTTTTCGCACTACTTGAACTCGGTGTTGATATTAATCGTCGAACGGGTACAATGCAAGCATCTGATGTTCACCGAGGATGTGGATGGGGAGATGATGTTTTTATTGAAATATTAATTGATTGTGGTGCCAATGTTAATTTAGAAGATGGTTGCAGAAAAACACCATTAATTTATGCCATTGAGTATCGTACATCATTGAATAGTGATCAATCAACAAATGCAAATGAAGATTTAATTCGTTTTTTGATTGAAAAAGGAGCTAATATTAACCATAGCGATATATCGGGTTTAACACCGTTACATTATGCCTGTTATCGTGGTGATGTTAGAATTGTTGATTTGTTACTGACATTAAAAGCCGATTATAATTTTGAAAATGCACTTGGTTATTCACCATTTCGATATTCATTAGGTTGTCTATCATATGCTAATCCAAATGATAAAGATATTTATACAAAACGATTAAATGTTGTTGAATTATTAGTAGAGCAATTTTCTAGAGATGAACTGAAAAAAGCGATTATTGGAAATGGTATTCCATTCTTATTTCCATTATTTGATTTTCTATTTTATAGTTTAATACAACAACGACATGATTTAGGTATAATAATTCATTCAATAGTATGACATCTAATAATTGAGTCATTTTTTTCATTTTAGAACAAATTGGATGGGATACATTTCTTGAAACATGTTGGCCATATGATTCGACATATGGTACATCATTAGTGGCTCAAAATATTCTAGTATTTAATCAAAATTTGAAACATATCATTTATTTTTTACAACGTATGTATTTATGCGATTATACAAATTTAATAATATTTTATTTACAACGTGTTCTAAATGATAAAGAGCCTAATCGTTTTTTACTATTATTATATTGTACATTTGTTGATTATGGTCATTTATCAAAACAAATATTTAAAACACTTTTGTATACACAACGGACATATCTATTTAAATTAAGACGTGATTCAATTAAAAGTTTAATTCATCTTTGTCAACAAACACCACCGAGACTTTTATTTTTATGTCGAAAAACGATTCGACAAATTTTACAAACAGCTATACATCGAAAAATTGATTTATTAGAAAATTATATACCAAAAAATTTGAAAAATTATTTATTATTAGATGAATTACAATTATTCTCTACACCGATAACAATGAAAAAAGTTATGTCACTAGTGAATAAATCGATAAGAATTAATTCAACGATAAATATTTTTAATAATATTCAAGTATCAACCTTAACAACTACTACCATATCTCCGACTACTATATCTCATATTCAAGTCAATAAATCGGCTATACCTATCACTATTTCAAATTCAACATTGTCAACGAGTTCCCAAACGACATCTATCTCATCTACATCAACAACCGTAGGAGAACAAGTTCAACAACAACCTCAATCATCTATCCTTTACATGTGTAATATTCAATCTCCTATTCGTGTATGTGCATAATATAGTATTTTATTCGATGTCTATTTTGTCCCTGTAGATTTTTTTGACAACATTCTAATTTTTTTACCAGATGGTTTTTTTACTTATACTTTACTTAAAAGAGTATAACGAATTAAATGTTCTTCTATCTTTTTCGGATGCTCGGAACCATCTGGTTATTTAAAGTGCCACTTTAAATTGCACTTTTTTTTTTAAAACAAATTTCGATATATTTACCAGCAAGCAACCTGAATTGTCTACCTTCATATTCTACACTGCGTAACATCTTTCTAGAGATTTAAGGTGACTTATCAGAAACGCCCATGGTCGTTGAAATACAATTTATTTCTCACTTTGTATTGATCGACTCCATCTTTCATGTATCTAAATTTGTAGAGCTTGACTTTCTCGTTAAAATACGATGTGACATACAATATTATGCAACATCTTAGAAGAAAGTTTCGAGCTATAAGCCCCAAAAAGTGTTCATTAATTAATAACTAATTTTCTCGATAGTAAAGTTGGCATTATGATCGTTTGGCACGATCCACTTTCCACTGTAACGGCTCATAGCCATTTAATAATGTTTTCTTGTTTGAAAACTAACGAGGGAAGGATCCTAAGTTGCAAATCGTTTTTTCAATGAAACTAAGTAGACTACATGTAATTGATGATACTGATTCAAATATAAATGTCGAAGTTGCCCTTGAGCTTTTGTTGACCGTTTTTCTAAAAACTAGATGTTCAGAAAACCAGAGACCAAATCTAGAAATTTTTTCTGAATCGCCCGTTTCGTAGAAGACACAAAACTGTCCATAATAATAATAACTGTCCATGTTCCATAAGTTTTAGGTTTTCAAAACAAAACTCAACAGCGGAGGAAAATGCCCCAAAAGAGTGGCTGGCTTTGATGGAAAAATGTTGCAGTGGGATACTTTGCAAAAATCATAGCACCTTTCAATGGTATTCTGAAACACTAAAACTTATATAACATAGACAAGTTTGTGTACTCTACAAAATGGCTAATTTTTCTGGATTTGGGTCCGCCTTTCCCGAGATCTAATTTTCAGAAAACCGGTCAACAGAGCCCTGAGGGCAACTCTGACATTCATATTTCGAATCAGCGTCATCAATCTTTTATATATATAAAGAAAAATGTTTGTCTGTTTGTCTGTTCTTTATGCATTTGGTCCCTGTAAGAGTTAGCGTCACCAAACTTTCCATGACATACCCTTAGGCCCAGAGGAAGGTCGAGAAGGGGTCGGTGAGGGTGAGAAACTCCTTGCTTTTCTCATGGCCAACTTTACGTAGCGTATTCAAGAGTCGGTGAAATCGAAGAAAATTTTTTGGTTAGTCATAAATATATGTCCAATATGTTTAGGTGATTAGCTATAGTACATACTTGGATATGACTTAATCTCTTCGTCGTTTTTTATGCCGGCACATGATGTATCACATTTCTTCTGATGCGTGATATATCGTCATTGGAATTTTCACATCACACTATACAATGACGCTATCAAAATGTTTTAGTATGTGCCATACATACATATAGGTGTGTTTTTCTATTGTTTTTCTGTATCAGAGCCATATTCACTATAGTATTTCTCACCTTCCGACGATTCTACTAATAAACGTACTCACGCACAAACAAGTAAGTGAATAACATTCAATATACACTACAAAATTTACAGATTACTAAAGTATTTTCGATTGTGACTTCAAGTGCAAATTTCTAAGGTAACTTTGTTAAAAATACACCTTCCTTAAAGAATATTTCTAACCTATCCTATTTACATTAGGAATACTGCAAAATGCCACCAAACCAGAAACCCTGGTAGGCAGAAGTACATCAGCTTTGAGGAGAATGGCAGCTTCCCGAGCAGCTGAGACTCCGGAACAAGGGTAGGTTCGACGCCAGGAAGATCGGGCAAGGCATGCGGCCTTCAGAGCAGCTGAGACTCCGGAACAGAGACGCAGTCGGGTCGATGACCAGCGTACAGGACAAGCAGCTTGTGCAGCAGCTGAGACTCCAGCACAGAGGCAGGTTCGACGCGAGGAAGATCGGGCAAGGCATGCAGCCTCCACAGCAGCCGAGACTCCTGAGTCATAACTGATAGGAGACCATAACGATGTCTTTTTCTAATATGTCAAGTACGTAATATCAAATTTTTCCGAGTAACATCGGGTACTTCAGCTAGTTACATGTAGTTTACGTAGTTTCATAAAAAACCAATTTGAAACTTGGGATCCTTCCGTCGTAAGACAAAAATACAAAGATTGACATCAACAATTTTGAACATACTCTTAAATTAAAACATAATGCATAACATTTTTAGATAGTAATTTGTACACTCTAAACATTTCATTGGATTGATTGTAGGGAGCAGAGATCCCAGATCGTTTGATTTTGCCAGAAAAATTTCTGATTTATAGACTTTTTTCTTTCTCAGTCTGATTTGATAACAAAAATAAGGACAAATGATAAATATAAATAAACAAAAATAAAACGTGTTGAATGAAGTTTTCTATTCGTTTGTGTCATATGTTTATCTCAAGTAAACTTTATTTCTATGATGATGTATATTTTTTTTTCTCGTTGTTTGCTTTTTTTAAAAGCAAACAACGAGACATAATATGTTAATGAATAGAATTTAATTTGTCAGAAAAGGACGTAAAATACGTGAACACAGATGATAAAGCGTTTAGTATTTGAAAAAATATAATCAACCCATTTAGACACCAGGAAAGACCGCGTTCTAAATTTGTTTTATTTCTAACTTCTTTTTCTGATTTTTGACTTTGCTTTTTCTCATTTTCACCTTTTAGATTTCAGAAAATCTTCTCTGGTAGGGAAGACAAAACATTGATTTATAGAGTGTGTGGACGTATCTTTTATCTTTACATAATATTCATTTTGGTTATAGATTTTTTTCTCCGTCGAAGAATGGCTGAAGCATCGAGCAGTACAGTCTGTAAAATACAACGTATGCGTCGAATTCTACTTGTTGGTCCTACAGGTGTTGGAAAATCAACTTTTAATCAACATATTAATTAATAATAATGTTACTGAAGAATCAATGTCAAAATCACCTGGTACAGGTGATACTTCATCGAGGCCAACGGCATTTTTTGTTACCTATTACGATTTTCTTAGTCATGCATATACTGACTCCATAGGACTTGGAGACAATCATTTTAAAGCCGAAGATGTAATGAACTCATTGAAATCGATTCTAAAAAATTCCTTAATCGGCTATAATAAAAAGTTTTTATGTATTCAATATGATCGAATATCGTCAGATACATGACGCTATATTGATTTGTTAACTACAATATTTGGTGAAGCAGTATTTAAATGGTGCTCAATTATATTTACCCGTTGTAAAGATCAGACAATGACAAAAGAAAAATATTTATCAAAAAATAATGAAGATGTCAATATAGTTGAAACTATCAATCAAGTACAAACCGTTTTATTTGGTGATAACATGACAGATCAAGACCCAGACATGGAAATGGTATTAAGAAAACAACGACAAACGTTTCTCAATCGGATCAAACAAGATATTAATGAAACAGCCAACGAAAAATATTTCAAACTGAAAATGAAAAGTTTTTTGGATCGGATATTTACAATAGTTTCTTTGGTATTCGGTCGAACAACAGAAACAGTAACCGATATAAGAAACATCGCCAATGCAGCCGTTATCTCCATGCAGCCATCGAAATATTTAAATTACTTTGGCGTATGTTCAATTTGTACGGAAGACATTACTGACGAAAACCAACCTATAATAACAAAATGTAATCATGTATATCATAAAGTATGTTTAAAAAAGTGGGTAAATGGAAAAGTATATAATTGTCCACTTTGTCGTATGAAATTCGATAATGGCCAAAACACACTTTATACAAATTTAACATTTGATACATAAACCATGGAAGAAAACCATGGAAAGTGGTTTTGAATGTTATATTTTTCCGGTATGTCGAGCTCTAATATATGGAAAGTTTCTAATACAACGACATATGTAAAAGATAAATATTTTGCTTCTTTTACAGATATACACTGAAGATTTTTCTCATAATATATTCATATATTGAATATCTTGTTCTATAATAAAAGAAAAAATAGTTTAACTTGTTCAAGTCTACTATAGATCGATATTATTACGTAGTATTTTTGACTACATAAAATAAACGTTGTCAAGTAATCATGAGAAACAGATTTTAATTCTTAAGAAAGGCTCCATGGGAAAATCGAGCATTCTGTAAAAGGCCCATACTATGAAAATTTTTGACACCCACTTTTTATTATATGAAACGCAAGAGCATGATTGAAAACTGAGAAATCCAAATTTTCAGCCTTTTCTATCTTGTCCTTCAGCAGCTATCACACATACATGGAACACGTCTCACGAGATCCTCGATACGAAAATTTTTGTTCAGTCCTGGGAAATCATTCGACATTTTCCTGTGGTAGTGGAAACCTCGAGATTTAAGCCTTACTTGCACTTGTGTAGGACATTTTTTGGCGTAGCTCACGGATAGACCATGGCCTTCAAACTTTTAAGCGTCCACTTTCAGAAAAATGGTTCGACTATCTATGGTATAGCCCAGACTAACTCATGCAATAGGCCCATCGTTTCTATCCATCCTAAAAGTAGCTTAAAACAATAACTCTATAAAAGTTAGATTTGTGATGTTTATATTTCGAACTAGAAAGTAAAATAAAAATTACTGTTTGAAGCATAGGTAATCAAAGGAAGGTACTATAGCCAAAAGCATGTGCAAGAATAAATATTGTACGTATACAAACATATGTGCGCAAAATGCCGAAACTTTGCTCAGATGAAGGCTTTTGCATAATTCAGAGGTGCAGTCGGTATCGGTTACCGGTACCGGTACGAAGTATAACGCCGACCGGTATACCGGCATTAGTATGAAGTTTAATCAATCGGTTGATATTGCTGGTATTTTGCGGTATGATACGATTTTTTTCGAAAAATATCATGCAAAGTCAGTTCAACTGTGACATATTTCTTTCACTAAAATTTCATTCCAATTACTTAAACTTTGTCGGCTTATTTAAACTTCATAAATTAAAAGATTAAATTGGATTGCTGTTGTCGGGAAAAAAAGCGTGTGAAAAATCAGCTATACATAATAAAAGTGAAAAGAGTAATCTATCCCTTTGATAATATAAAATAAAGTTCACAGTAAAGAAAAACAAGGAAAAAGTATCTGTATTTAGGCAAAATATGATCAAGACAAGCCGGTACCGGCCGATACCGGTATCGCATTTTTGATACCGGTTACAACCTGGTACAATTCTCTTTTTATTTAAATAGGTTGTTGCGATTCTACCAGATCTCCGTATCGGCTGGAGTGCGCTGAAAATGTTTTGAGCTCATGGACCCGACTGGACTCAAACTTTCAAGACCATGGACTGGTCTGGACTGGAAAAAAGTTTGGATTCACTTGAATCGAGGAATCAGAGACTGTCCTAATGACACGGACGACTTGTTCAATGAAAGTTGTTCATTAACAACAATTCGTCGGTAAGGGATCACCTCACCCTCTTGCTTGCTTAATTTTCCGGTAGTTATCACGAGAAATCCTTTATTCGAAAAAAATTCCCGGTTTTTAAGAACTCTTAAACATCCCGCAGGTTTCCCGATATCGGAAAATTATGCGTTGTTTTCGAGGGGTCACATTGTTCGAGGCGTGAAACTTAATCGTATGCCGTACAATCAAGGGAAACTCATGTTGTTAGTAATAACATGCCAGATTTTCATGCCTAGCTTATACAATCCTTCACTTACGGATTACAATTAAAATAATTCGAGCATTCATGCATTACATGGTCTACGGTCCAACGTTACAGATAGTTTGTGCGTATAGGTGTCGCTTGGGTCGAATATTTGTGGTATTGCGTAATTTGTCAATGCGATGTCCACAGATGTTCGTGTTCAGGAAACAAGATAACTAGCATCTCCTATCAATTCTTCTTGCCTTAAAATTAGCTACTATTCCAGTCAGATTGAGTTCCTTTTTTATATGCCTTTCTAAACTAAAATCTTCTGTGTAACTGTATGTACATCGATGCTGATTCCTCTTCTCCCAAGACGTTGCTGTCATAGGCAAGATAGTAAGTAAAACCACATTCACATAGCTTAAGATAAGATACAATAAATCAACTGTAAAATAACCAGTCACCATTGAAACATATTTTGTGCCTCTGTTGCTGTTTTGAAGATCGTTTTAGTTAGGCTCTTATTATTGTATGTCCATATTATACCGAATTATGTATATAGAAAAGAGAAACGGAAAGTTTTCTTTGAGCACAATTGACTAGTGTTTTCGAAGGGAAATGACACTCCAGACTCAGACTTGAGTATTATTTTTAACTAAGTACTAGCGAAGTTCCATCAAAATCTGAGATGAAATCCTTTAATTTTTTTGCAAGTATAAGATACCATAAAATTAGCCTGTTATTGTATGTTATCTTGTCCATTCAAATGTAAATCATGAAAAAACATTTACCTAGCCCACACTTGATACCCCATCATCAATGGTATTTCCAGATATATATTAAATTAGGCGAATAGAACTGTCTAATTTGTGCAATTCTTCGTTCATACATTCTGACAATGTTAGGCTAAAGCTTTTCTACTATAACAGATCGAAAAAAAGACGGTTGTTTACTGAAAGACAATCTGTTTGTCTGACATTGAGAAACAGTCAAAGTTTTTGATTTTCTAATCGAGTCGGCACTGTGCCCAAGTGAATTATAGGAACTTTTCATAAAAAAAATGATCGAACTTGATTCATAAATCAAGACGGTGCATATGATGCGTTCGAACTACAGATATATCGAGTGGAGATAATACATGTGAATGTAGCTTTACAATAAACTGAGTAAATGACATGCATATGAGCTCTTCAGTCTGAAGACGAGAGAAAGCCAAATCTTGGATTTTTTATAATTTATTTTATAATTTTTATTGAATTAAGGAAATTGCGAAAGAGAATGACGTCATCCCATTTTTTCAATAATCAATATCATAGAAACGTTGATTAAATGGCTTGACTTATGTGGATCTTCCCACTTTTATCTTGTGACTCCTACTTTGGTTTAAACTATATTTATTATAAGATAAACTTCTTGACACTCCCTGCTAAATCGGCTCGCCATCGTATAGTAAGAAGTGCAAGTCCACGATGTCGTACGTTACCAATAACAATTAAAATGACAAATAAAATGGAAATAAACTCATGCTTTATCTTTTTTTGTTTTCTAGAAAGTTTTGAAAAAATATAAGAAAGCTTCAATTTTGTAGACTAATGACAACGTTATCGTATTTGAGCATAGTAGTCGTCTGATCATTCTGTTTGTCTTTCTTAGATTATTAGATTTGAACTGAGAACATCTAAAATGGCTACAAATCGATTCTTTTTAAATGATGATACATCGTCTAGTTCCGAAAGTAGCGATGATGAACAGCAACCAACACAACCAAAAGGTGATATGAAAAAAACACTTCCAAAACCAGCTGGTAAAGCGTGAGTATCATATTTTTACTCTATGTCTAAGTATGCAATTTTAATTTATTTTCTTTTATCTAGAGCTGGCAAGCCGTATGTAGCATTCAGTGATGATGAAGAAGATGTTAAACGGGTAGTTAAAAGTGAACGTGAAAAACGGTAAAAATATTAACTTATATATTGTCAAGTTACTAGAATTTTTTATCGTTTCTTTATTGTAGTTACGATGAACTTCGTGAAATAATCAAAAAAATGAAAAATGCTAAACGAATTCGTGATATCGGATTAGTATTTGAAAGTGAGTTGTGTGAGGCTATTATTTGTTTGAAAATTTTTTTTTAAATTTATTTCAGGTTTTGAGAATTTAACAAAAGCATTTGACAAAGCGCGAAAAGTTGTGGAAAAAGATCAAGCAATACCAAGATTTTATATACGCACATTAGTCGAATTAGAAGATTTTGTTAATGAAGTATGCAGTAATAATAAGCACGATTGAAAAGCAATAGACATAAATAGATTTATTTGAGAGAATGCGACTCACTGCTACTACTTTTAGTACAGAACTTATTTTTATTGTATTTGACTTTTAGTGTTGGAAAGATCATAATTGGCGTGATACGTTGGATAGAAACAACACAAAAAATTTAAATTCAACAAGACAAAAAATTAAACGTTATAATAAGAGTGACGCTTTTCTAAAAGAGACCACTGCATATAGAGAAGTAGGTCAAATTCTATTTAGGAACATTCATATCTCTACTGGGAAATGTATTACCCATTCTAGAATCCTGACGTTGGTGCTGATGTTGATGCGTTAGAATCTGATCTGTCAGCGAACGAAGCTGAAAGTGATGACGATGATATTCATGCTCCAAAGGCACCTGTACCTGTTCCATCTAGCGCAAGTGCTGCGGCTAAAATGAAATCAAAATCAAAAGATAATGTAAGAATTGTTTCGATAGTGTTATTCTTATTTTTGACAATTCTATATATGTCTAATTTAGGAAGATGAAAGTGAAGAAAGCGATGACTGGGATGTTAGTGATGAAGCATCAACCGGCGATGAAATTGATTTGACTGATGTTCCAAAAGAAGAACTATATAAAATATTTTTGAAAAAACCGTAAGTGAAATGTGCTGAATCACTAGTAAAGGGAGATGTTCGTATGAGAAATATTCGAATAGTTAGAGTGAAGCAAAGAATATTACTCTGTAGTAAGAACTATAATGTGTAAATGTCTGAAAGAATACGTATTATTTTTATTGTTTGTATTATGTTCTTGTAGTGATGCACCCGGTGCAGAGAGAGAAAAAATAGACAAAGCAACACGAGATAAAGATGAGAAAGATAAAATAAGAAACAAACAGAAAATACGAAGAGAAAAGCAACTTGAACCATCTGATGAAGAAGATGAAATTCCCTCGCGACAAGACGTAAGTTGGATGGAAAACTATCCGTTGTTGTTATAATCATTTCTCGTTCTTTGTATATAGCATCGTGGTTTAGTAATATTCGGTAAAGATGAAGAAGTCACACATGACGCTATTATGAAAAAATTAAATGAAATCATTGCATTACGTGGTAAAAAATCAGCAAATCGTCGCGAACAATTGGAATGTTTACATATTTTACGACAATATGTTGATAAACAAAATTTGGGTGTTGGATTAGATGTTAAAATTTTATTGGTGCAAATTGCTGTTAGTTTTGATTACCATCATAAGGGAAATGAATGCTTGAAACCGGAAACATGGACAAGGTAAATGCAGAAATAAAAATGAGATAAAATCTATAGAGAAGTCAGTCAAGACTTTCGCACATCGTACTATTATTTTTGCACTAGAAGATAACTCTCAAATTGTCGTTTGTAGAGCGCTCGATTATATTGATGAATTACTGAATTTATTAGCAAACAATCTGGAACTTCAAATAAGTGAAAATATATCTGAAGAATCAGAAAATTTGAAAGTAAGTTATTGAAATGTATTCAAAACGTCACTTTAGACGCACTGACTTTTTCTTAAGGATGGTCCTAATTATCGTATTCACGGTGATGTTATAACAATTATCGTTAAAATGGATGAAGAATTTACAAAAATATTACAAAATTGTGATGCACATAGTCAAGAATATGTTGATCGTCTTAAAGATGAATTACGTGTGTGTGCAATTATTGAACGTTTAAAAGCCTATTTGGAATCAAAAGTAAATGAACAAATAATGACTAGTATTTCATCAACAAATCAACCACTATTAACACCCGAAAGTATTCCGTTAGTAAATTCACAACATTTGTGTACGATTTATCTTCGAGCTATTGAACATTTATATTATAAATATGATCAAGATTCAGAACAACCATCGAAGCAGATTATGGATCGTCTATGTAAATTCATTTATACAAAAGATACGTTGAATCGTGCACGTGCTCGTGCTAGTTTATGTCATGTTTATCATCATGCATTACACGATCGATATTATGAAGCACGTGATTTAATGTTAATGTGTCATATGCAAGACACAATTACTTCATCAGATGTATCCACACAAATATTGTATAATCGAACAATTGTTCAGTTAGGTTTATGTGCATTTCGTTTTGGTTCAATTAAAGAAGCTCATCAAGCTCTTGTTGATATGCAATCAGGCAATAGAGCAAAAGAATTACTTGCACAAGGTGTACAAATGATACGAAATCAAGAACGAACTCGTGAACAAGAAATGAAAGAAAGACAACGTCTATTACCATTTCATATGCATATTAATTTGGAATTAATTGAATGTGTCTATTTAGTATCAGCCATGTTAATCGAAATACCATTTATGGCATGTAAGTTCACATATTAAGGACTGATTTTGAGATAATAACAAGTAATCATCTACCAGTAAAGTGTATAATTTTCCTTCTTTGCTTCAGCTCATGAATACGATGCTCGAAAACGTCCAATAAGTAAACATTTTCATACACAAATGCGTCAAGCTGAAAAACAACCGGTATTTGGTCCACCAGAATCGATGCGTGAACATGTAGTGGCTGCTAGTAGAGCAATGAAAACGGGTGATTGGCGATCATGTGTTAATTTTCTAATTAATGAAAAAATGAATGGAAAAGTATATTTTTTTTCTTTAGTATCTTACATTAACTACCTCTTATTTTGTTGTCAAATTTTCAGGTTTGGAATTTGATGCCTCAAGCTGCTCATGTTCGTAAAATGTTAACCGATAAAATTAAGGAAGAATCGTTACGTACATATTTATTTACATATGCCACCGTTTATGATGCTATATCCATGCCCGTATTAGCTGAAATGTTCGAATTACCAGTGAAACATGTTTATAGTATTATAAGTAAAATGATCATTAATGAAGAACTTATGGTAAATGATTTAGAGTCAGCGAATTTTTCCCTACCATGAAGGTAATAATAACATATTTTTCTTTTCTAGGCATCACTTGAAGAGCCGAATCAAACAGTGATTATGCATCATACAGATCCATCTCGTACACAAGCATTATCGTTACAATTAGTCGACAAAATATTTCAAGTACTTGAACAGAACGATAAACTTGTACAATTTCGTAATGGTGAATCATCGTTTTATTCGAGACCACAACGTACGTACTTGCCTTTTTTTCTCTTTACTTTTTGTACAGAATAATATTATTATTATTTTTTTGTTATAGAGATGCAACAAAATCAGTCCCAACGACAAGGAATGGGCGGTCAAAACTGGAGTAAGTTTTTTTACTATGATTGATATTACTGATCTTTGCCTAATCAAAATTTGATTTATTTCAGGTCGAGTTCAACGTTCTGGAACAGGTCGAACCTATTAAGAGCGTGGTTTACGTGCTTCTCATTGATCAACAGTTTCGCTTGTATTAGGAAAGTCCAGAAAAGTTGTCGTGTTAAAAAAGTCTGTTGTTATTTTGTCACCCAGCTTTATTCGTTTTTAAAATAAATGAAATGTTAATGATATGAAGCTCAAACAAGAATAGAATATGAGACATCAAATAATGACTTCAGAAATAATGAACTTTACAATACGATAGGTCGATCATAGCATGATTAAATACCAACGTTTCCGATTAAAGTAGGGAAGAACGATGATTTCTCAAGAAGTTTTTAAACTGTTTGCTAAAATTTTTGTCTTTTCTCATCTGCGAGTCTCTGTCGAAAATTTTTGTTTTGATCACTAACTGTGGCTTTAAATTTCTTTACTTTGATAAAAACAATTAAAAACCCTGTTCAAATTTTTTTTCGTGAAACAAAATCGCAAAAATATCGATCGCTTCGTTTTCCTTTCAAATAGCTGTTCTTTAACTGACGTATACACTCGATAAAAGCTAGAATCCATCATTTATAAACCAGAGCAATCCTCATACAAGAATAAGTCTTTCTAACAATAGAAGAAGGATAAAATAGACTGAATTGGCACGATTGAGAAATTACTGTTAAAAAGTGTTTTTATTGCTACATAGAATATGTCTAGAATAAGCTGTTGAGAAAGCTAATCATACGGTGAGAAAACATTAAAATTAAGTTCTTGATGTAAAGAAGGATTCACGAAATTCAGGTCAAACCCCGATAAAAAGCCTTTTTGGGTAATGATGTGTGAAAGTAAGCGAGAAGCAGACTAAAGGTCAGGACTATCAAAACCTCTGACTAGCGAGAAGTTTTAGAAATGATCCCCATCCTATAATGCAGAGGTTTCTGCGGAATCCCAGCAAAAAGCTTTTATACTACCTTGACAATGGTTTTGGGATCAGCTAACCCTCATCACAAATCTGAACTCTCTGACATCTCTATTAGAGACTTTTATAGAAGATACTGGAAAAAAAAGTTAACTAGGGTTTTGTAAGAACTTTTTTTGTTTTGTGATAGTAAAGTTTCTGGTTCCAAATTTCTTCCACCTTCTTTGTCTTAGTGGGCTGAGTATTATATAAGAACGACAAAAGTGAAAAATATTCGACGTTTTTCTCACGAACTCAGAGAGATAATCTTAATGACAATTATCAACTACGCTGGTAGTCTACAAATTAAAAATCTTGGAAATCTACCATTTATACTCTTTTAAATACGAGCGGTTAATCAAACGGTATTTTTCTGGTACTAAAGACATGGGACACAATTTTAAAAGGATTTATTTATTTCTAAAATTTTACACTTATCCTGGTACAAATTAACTGTGATTGATATAACATCATTAAAAGTATAAAGATTGAACACGTATAAAAATTTTCGGTAATATATTTTCATAAAAATTTGTGCTCATCAGTATTCAGTGGTACAGTTGCCTGAATTCTGTATTAGAAGTTTCTTATTCATCATCAATGGATCATATTGTCACATAAATATTTAGTTTAAATCACCAGCAAACTCTTCAGTATTTTAATAGTTTGCGTTACATCATGTCTGCTCAATGTTCACCGATGAGTGTAACTTAAAATTGTTTTTTGTGTTTTTATTTTTTGAGGTTGAGCGACATGAGAATGAATTAACAGAGACAAAAGCGTTTATAGTAAGTTAAGATGCATCAGTTAGCTGATTATGAATGAGTCAAGCCAGCACCAGATCGGTACTTGTCTACAAACTATGCCATTTTATTCTTTTGCTGAGAACTTTCTAAATTTCAATAACTTTGTCGAGATGTCTTTTCGCACCTGTAAAAATCTGTTTTCCTACTTTTACAATACATCATTATTTTTTACTATCAATAAAATACGACAAACAAGTGATGAAGTAGTTATTGAATCGAGAGAAGAAAGGATCACATCAAATGCAAAACATACCAAACGATGGAACAAAACATATTCAATAGGCAAACGTATTTATTTTTGGACTTAATCAAGTTCAAATTAATTAAGTCGGGTAATCGATATATTACATATAGTCAAAAATAGTTGGTTTTTATACCACAGAGCACATTATTCTTTCTTTCATTAAGTTTTAGATTCACAATCGCTTGTAGTGATAGTCATAGGAAAAAGGCTAATCTGAATAAATATTGATATTCTTTCTACTATCAATACAAAAGTTAAAATTTATAAACATAACCCATGCGTACTCTTTGCGACTTGAATGGTGGTGCATTGAAATAAATAGATGCATGATGCCAAGAATCAGTTATTTGCATTTATTTTATATTAACTTTTTTAAACTGTGGGAACGTTACACTCATTATATATGTGAAAGTTCTTGGAAAATTTGTAGGTTACGTTGCTAGTCGTTAAAAATTATTTATCTCATAGACACAATGCATTTGTCTTTCAATGTGTTGTGTTTTTGAATGGGATTTTTTTTCCTATAAAATAGCGCGCTTTTTGTTTCTAATGGATAAGAAAGATTAAATTGAAATTAGTTTAATTAAATCTTGATATTAGTTTCGTTTGAATTATCGATGCTTCGTTATAAATCTACCAGATCTTGGCTGTTATTATTCATCCTTCTTTTAATCTCTTTTACAATTATCTATTTATCTTTGGAAATACAATTTAATTCTATTATTATTAATTCAAAAAATCAGGATACATTTCTTTATGGGAATAAAATGAAAAATCAAACAAATCGTCTTTTATGTTACATACCAACTCGTCTCAATTATCATGAACGAATTGATGCTGTTTCGCGTACATGGGGTGAGTAGGAGTTTTTGACATTTCAACGCAAGTAAGACAAATTTTAAGAACTGATTCGAAAGAGATATTAAATTAATCTCCAAATGGTATTCGAACTGGATTTTTGTAAAAGATGAGAACATTCTAAAATTTCCGAAATTAAAATGTGAAATAGCCAATCGATAGAGTTCGTCGAGTTGAGTATACTAACATCGAAAACAGTTATTAACAGTTGAGCTTTTTAGTCATTTTTACAAATAAACATCCACTAACACTCAGAGAAAGCGATACTAATACCCAAAAAAGTTTGCCAAGTTCATCTACATGACTCTCCGATCCTATTGATCGAGAAATCCTCTCTCCACGTTTTTGATCGAAGAAAACGACTTGATAATTTTTGAAAAAAGTTATAAAAAGATCATTAGGAAGCCCATGAAATTCTGTACGAAACTGCTAGTTTGTATTTTTACAAAAGTTATTTATTATAAATTTATTTAAGTAAGAAATATAGCACTGTGACAAAATATATGTTCAAGTTATCACTTAAAACACTGCTAGAGCTTTCGACCTTTATTCAAGGGTCATCATAAATTTATTTTTATAAAAAATGACACATACTGAACATGTTCTACGTACGGCAATTAATAATGCTATTCTACGAGATATTTTAGCACGTGGAACTTTAGAAATAGACGAATCATCGGCACAAGAATTATGTGTTAAAAATATAGATTTTATAAATACATTAGCAACACTTCGAACACTACTAAAGGATTTTTACAAAAATCATCACGAAAACAAGTGAAATAAACTAAAATGTTATCTATTTCTCCATTCATATGTTATTCAAGCTATTGTACAATATTATTCGTCACTAACACTTTTCTTTGTCAATCATGGCTTCAATAAATCTCGTAAATTAGCATATTGAAATGCATGGATTAGATAGATCGATGCATGGAGTAGATCGCGGAGAAAGAGTTGGGTCTACTTTAAAATTGTCATGAAAGTTGGTCTGTTATTAACTGAATTATAACTGTTCCATTTACAGAAGGACGCAATTTAGATAGTCAAATCGAATAAAAAATGTAATAAATAACTTTTGTGAAAATACGAAGTGGCAGTTTCGTAGAGAATTTCATGGGCTTCCTAATGATCTTTTTATAACTTTTTTCAAAAACTATCAAGTCGTTTTCTTCTATCAAAAACCGTACTGATAGGATCAGAGAGTCCTGTAGATCAACTTCGTATACTTTTTTGGGTATTAGTATCGCTTTTTCTGAGTGTTAGTGGGTGTTTATCTGTAAAAATGGCTAAAAAGCTCAGCTATTAATGATTGTTTTGAGTGTTCTCACCTTTTACAAATATCGATTCGAACTAGTTTCTGAAGAGAGTGAACAAATGGACTAGTTCATACACATATTTTCTTTGCCCAGTCAGAATGTGTTATTCAGTGTTCGATTAGGCGGTGGAAACAGATCCAAATCCACGCTCTCGTTTGGATAGCGTTCCTAAAAAAAATTTTGATTTAGAAATTTTTTAGAAAAAGTTCAATTGTATCTCGTTTTCTTCATACTGTTGATGAATCTTGTTTTGAAAACAAATATGATAAGAAAAATATCAGCCTTCAATTGGTTTCAAACATGCAGTTACTCGAAAAAAAATTTTAGCTAAAAAAGACGTAAAACGAAAAAACTTTAGTTACTCAGCAAGTTTTCCATCCCCTTCCAAAACTTGTATCGAAAACGCTGGTGATATTATCTAGAAAACTAATCTCAGATGAGTACAATTAGCAAAGATTATTTTTTGGAGGTATTTGGGTTATTTCTTAATTCTGTTTGAGCAGGGAATATACAGAAAATATTTTGAAAAAAATGATTCTACAGATCTGATGCTTTTTCCCGTTTAACAACATCATAATGAGTCATACGTTGTAGGTAAACGATGTGATAAATTAATTTTTACTGTTGGCACCAATGAAAATGATACAATTTATCAACAATTATTAACCAAATGGAAATTAGCCTCATTAACAAATATTGAACTTCATTTTTTAAATTTAAGCGATGATTATAACAAATTGATAGATAAATCATTCAAATCTATATCGTATATAGCAAATAATATTTCGATCTGGCCATATTACGATTGGTTTTTTAAGGGTAAAAAGAAAAAAAAAATATCGTCATGAATTTTAAAATGGAATTGAAAAGAGACTGTCACTTTCTCTGTCGTTGATATTGTTTTAAACTGAAATTTAATTGCTGATAGATTGAATAAAAATATAATTTTATCCGTTGTAGGCGATGATGATACCTATGTGTTAGTTGAAAATTTGAAAAAGTTTGTTAAAAATAAAGATTCAGATCAGCACGCTTATTATGGATATGGTCTTGCTCAAAATATTGGCAAAGATCGTGTTGATTATGCAAGGTTTACACTTATTTACATTTTGATTCAAATTTTATTTTAATATTTTTTTATTTTATTCTAGTGGTGGTGGTGGTTATTTGTTATCTCGTCAAACATTTCTTAGTTTTGGAAAAATACTCACTAAACCTTTTAATCACGAACATCTAAACAAATGTAAATATTATTCATTTGAAGATGTTAGTTTAAGTCGATGTTTAAAAGTTCTTTTTAATGTGACACTTAAACTGGGCGTAGATAAAAATGGTAAAAATCAATTTTTACCTATTGATCTTGAACATATGTTTAAAATACAATTACCTCGGTGGATATTCACTAAATCATTAAATCGTATAATACAACAACAAAATAATTCACAATGTTGTAGTCCTGAATTGATCACCATGCATTATGTTACTCCATTGGCAATGGAATATTTTGATTATATATTTTATTCATTAAAAACATCATTACTAGAATGATGACGATATCAATAGAAATTTTTGTTATGTTTCTACTATATTTTTATTAAAAAATCTCGTTGGGGCAGTCTCTATCGAGACTAAAATTGTGAAACACCTATACCCTTCATTTCATAGTTTAAGTGAGCATACCACATAAAAAAAATAAATTCATCTTTATTTTTCGATGTAATGATTCAAATTCTGATTTATTTTTTAATCTTCATTATTCGGTTGCTAATAACATTTTCATTTAGTTATAATTGACAGCAAAATGAATATTGAATTTTTTATTAACAATTATAAGATGAATACTAGGCCTACTAGCGGAGGATAGTTAAAAAACACCAAAAACCACTGGATTTCGAGTATATAACTTCGATTTCGCTCTACTATGAAGTTATGCATAGGAATTTCACAAAATAGAATCAGCAGTTGATATTGGTAGCAGAAAATAATTTTATTGTCGATTAAAATATTTCTCAATCCTAATAAAAATCAGTTGCTGAAAACTGGGTGTATTTTCCCCAGTTATAGTCGTAGTCGAGTGATATGTATTTAAATCCATAAACATGAAGAAAGTCACAAAAGTCGATTCATATGATGAATATAGGACTTTCACTAGTTTATTTTCGATAGTTTTTGTTTTTATTTGCTGATAATATTTTTTGTTATTCTTGTATAAAAGTCATTGGTATTAGTTGAGTCTGAAGTTTTTAACCCTTTGGCGACGGGAAGCCCATATATAGGCAAATGTCGCAACACTGCTGTAACTCAAGAATCATAACAGCTAGTGACTTCTAATTTTGTGTGGTCATAGTTCTTACCAAATGCTGATCATCCACCAAGTGTGGGTCTCTTTTACTTGATGGTTCGTGAGGTATAAATGATTTATTTCTTTTCCGTCAAATATCAATAGCTCCTCATCTAAGAAAGATGAAAACTTTTTCTTTTTACCAAAATATAGCCACGACTCTACTCTATCTACGATATGAATTTCGTGAGTTGGCAGTTAGTAGTCTGTGAAATACAGCTATTTTACGGGTGAGGTTCGCGGTTTTTTGTTGAAACTTCGAGCTCCTTTTCGAAAAAAATTCACAACTCAGTCTAGAAGCATCATTTTGACTTCAAATTCGCATCAAAGGCTCTACAGCGTCTGTAGATTATCTAGCCAAAGTATGAAGATTAATTATCGTGTGCTTCTGAAAAGTCATTGAGAACGAGCACTCACGATTGAAACATACGTAGAAGAGCGAGGGTGGCGAACTAAGGGTCGCTCTTTATACTGTCGAATCTGCATGCAATGAAGATTAACTATTGTGTGCTTCTGAAAAGTCATTGAGAACGAGCACCCACGATTGAAACATACGTAGAAGAGCGAGGGTGGCGAACTAAGGGTCGCTCTTTATACTGTCGAATCTGCATGCAATGTACATCATAATCATGAAAATATAATCATAGAAACCTATGATTCCGAAAAGCATATGAGAAACTTTTGTCAGAAAGATTACACACTCACCTCTGATCTTCGCCATTTCACTTATTTTGCGTCCTTTTCACTTCTCTTATATTTCAAGCAAAAGTAATAACATATTTGAGATCAGCAGACAAAACTGGGTCTAACAGCATACTTAACATTCGGTTTTTGAACAAACAAAATTTTATTGATAGTTTTCTCCCTAGTGGGAAGACCGGACGTATATATACGTCTCCCGTCGCCAAAGGGTTAAGTTAAGTAAAAATAAAAATTTCTCGGTTCTCGCAGCAGCTAGAAACCTGTGATTTTCGTTAAAAATCCATATCCATTCCTAGGTCGAAAATTTTTTAAAGCATGTTTGGTCAAAAGTAATTGCAGATCCGTCTCCTCCATAGTCGAGCGAGTATCTGGGTATACTATAAGTTTTGGATCGAGATACTTCAGAAGAAATTTTGATATCGTTTTGTTTTTGGTACCATACAGAAACGTTTCAAGCAAAATGTCGAAAATTTTTCTTAAAGTACTCCGATTCAAAAGTTATGGTAATGTACAAGATTATCAAGAAGATGAATCTACAACTGGTTTTGACTAAACATACTTTTCGATTTCGTGCATTATGCATTATTTTGAAGTAAATTGTGACTATTATCGAAGCCAAAATTCAAGGCATCCAGTTGTTTTTCTAATAACTCCAAAATGATAAAAGATAGGAACCTGCGATTTTCAACAATCGAAAGAAGACAGTTTAACCTATGTTTTCATAAACAAAACCATTTTCCGAAAGCGTTTGGAAGACCGGTTTTCTAGGAGATCTGCAAAAGCTTTGCAATTTTGATGGATCTTGACTGGATTATGAAATTTTTAATTATACTCGAAAATAGGCAAAAATGAGGTATTCCACCTAATATAGGTTTTCTGAAAAACAAACATTGCCACGAGATTTAGCGTGGTTGATTATCTACGTTTCGATTATTTTCAGAATTGCCACGCCTGAAAAAATATTGATCCTGTGACTCTCAGGAAATCCGATGCCACGCCTGAACCGGGAAAACTTAAGAGTTGGTTTAGTTCGCATTTTGGAGAGAACACTTTGGACTATCTATCTATGGAAAAAAACTGATCCATTGATATCTTGGTTTCCGGAGATTCGAAGTGCTTTTGAAAAGATCGCCTAGAAAATCGATCTTCTGAAGGGTTTCAGAAAAGGGCTTTGCTTATGAAAACATAGGTTAAACTGTCTTATTTTGATTGTTGAAAATCACAAGTCCCTGTTTTATCGTTTTGGAGTTATTCGAGAAACAACTGCCTGAATTTTGGCGCTGATAATAGGAAAGGTTATTGATTTTGAAAAAATCATTTACTTTGTAAAATATACAAAAACACCGAAAATCTAACCAAACGTGACTCAATTTATAACTAACTACCTTAAGATGTTTATTCTTCACTTCAAGTTATATATGAGTATAACTTCTAATTCACAGATAGATTTCAAAGTGGGGTCGTTCTTGTCTATTAATTGAAAAATGATCTAAAGTAAAATGTAAAGTAACACTTGATGATTTAATCTTTTTTTAAGAAAATAAATAAAGGTAATATGAGACGTTTGTTGTTTTAAGTATCTGAGCGTCATCAGAAGCCTGTTTTATTTTTGTCAAATATTCAAGCAGTCAGAGTACGACACTATTGCAGTTTTAATTATTCTGTTTTTATCAATACCGTCAGCACATATAACAGGGTAAGTCCTTCATAATTTTGCCTAAATTCTACTTTTAATTTCAAATTATTATGATAAATGTTATTGTTCATTCAAAAACGAAAAACTCTGACTAACTGTTAATTCTCTAATCCTAAAATAAAAAAATCTGTAATTCTTATTTACCACATCTGCATTTTGCAGCTGTCCGGACGACTAGAGGGTTGTCCAACATTTGACTCTATTTCTGTCATATACGGTTAAAAGAATAAATTTCTAATGAATTTCTAATGAATATTTATATTTCTAATGAATTAATGAAAATGAATTTTCGAACAATTTTTAGATCAGTGGATAGCTAAGCGTCCTACTTGTGCAATACCGTTTTTCTGCGATTGAAAATAGCTGAGCTATCGGCAACATGAGAAGAAGTTGACGTCTGACCATGATTACCACACTCTGCTTTATATGATTTTCAGGTAAACTCTGTTTTGTGCGCGAAAGCATTTTTTTATCCAAAAAAAATGTGATATCAAAAATTATCTTATCGAGTTGAATTGAACGATGTTTAACTTCTCTGAAAAAATTGAGTGAGAATTTTTGATACGTGATTTCGCATCTGACTTAAAGAATTTTTTTAAGAACGGTTAATTCTTTTTTTTTTCTAGCCGTAGTCTGAATGGGGCTTAGGATAAAATAAGTGCTTTTGTTGATGAAAATGAATGTATGTGCCGTGCCTAAGACGGAAAAAGTTCCTGTTATACCAGTATAGAGTGACGCTGATATATTAAAATTATTTGATAGTGTTGGATATGAACATCCTAAAAAAAATTCGCTATGATGAGTACAATCGTTTATTGAAAAGAGAAAATCTCTTATTCATTTTTTTGATCCAAAAATAAAATTTTCTAGTTCTTGTTCATTTCACTTGTCGTTCATTGGCCTTGTCGTACATTACCACCAGATGATTGACTGACAAAATAATGTTGTTTTTTGTTATAGATGTTGAAAATCGTACTGTGCCTGTTATTAGTTGTTTCTTCGGTTTATTCCGAGTGTCGTGTGGAAGAAAATCCAAAAGGTGTCATTCGTTGTCTATCAAATATAGCGGCAGCATTCGAAGCTCTTTTCACAAAAAGTAAACTATAATACAAACAAGTTTTAGAATTATTCTTATTTTAATGTAATCTTTACTTTTTTCCAAGATATACAAACATTATGTAATACAGGAGCTGCCATAGCTGAATGTGTCAAACCTCACATGTATGGATGTGTTGCACAGCAGGTAAACGAAAAACATACTAAAACATTCGGATGATTTGTGCGTTTTTTGTTTGCAGATTAGTGAAGGTGCTTTGGATCAAATATCGTATTTAGCAGTTAAATGTTGTCCAAACAAGGATGGTGTCCTGTTGGATGGCTGTTGGATAAAAGAATTACAGACAGGCGTGCAAAAGTGTTTTTCATTAGATAGTAAAGTTTTACTAGCAAATGGCCAAGAAAAACTCATCAGTCAATTGAAACAAGGGGATGCTGTTTATGCGTTCGATGATACAAATCAAAATGTAATTACAACTGAAATCATTGGCATGCTTGATAATGAACCAGAAAAATTCGGTAGGTGAAAGCAATGTGTTATTTCATTATCTTGTTGATTGCGTGCGAACCTTTAATCATATATTTTTTTTATCAAGATTATTTAAAAAGCTAAAGTCATATTTTAGGTTTATTAAAACTGTTGACCACTTCCAGTGGCCGACAGTTGTCATTGTCTTCAAGTCATTTAATTCCCACAAAATCCGATGGTTATTTAATGGCGAAGAATCTTCAACTGGATATGAAAATATACGTTGTGACGTCTGATAAACAGTTAACAGTTGAAACAATCGTTAATATTACCGATATATGGAAACAAGGTTACGCGGCACCGTTGACACAATCGGGAACAATAATTGTCAATAATGTAGCTGCATCTTGCTATGCCACAATAAAAAGTCATCAACTAGCTCACGCTGTTCTCGCTCCCATGCGTTGGTGGTATTCTTTATCGAAAAATACTATTTCTGATGCATATTCTATTCAGAATGGTGTACATTGGTTTCCAAAAACGCTATTCAAAATAGCATCGTTTCTGTTGCCATCCATAATAAATTAATACACTGACTTAATATGGTGAAAGTTGTTCTTTATTATCGAAAAATTTTATTCCAGTTTTAAAAGATCTGTTCTATGTAACTGACTTCTGCCAGTAATTCTTTGAGATTCTGGGTCAAAGGTCAATAACTCTTAGTACCAGTTGATGCGTGTCTTTTTCTATGATTGTGTAATTTCTTTGAATTGTTTTCGTTTCGATTCTCATATGATATTAAAAAACCGTAACATCTTATTCTTAATCTTTGATAGAGGAAACATGAGAACAGATATGCAATTCGATTTGTAAAGTTAATTTCTTTGACTCAAAGTCTGAGGTCATGTAAAATATTTGTCCGCGTCCATCTTCTGTACACTAGCAATATGATGAAGACACAAGGTCTTTGACGACAAGGTCGGACGACTGTTATGTCGGAAACTTCGATGAAAGAGGTAATCTACTTCATAGCATCTATAAGTAACGGAAAACGAGCTCTTCCATGAATTTATTCGTTGAAAACTTATCACTATTATATAAGAACTTTTCTAAATAGGTAACCGATCATGCTGAGTACAAATATTCATAGATGGTACTACGAATATCATCACTCCATGACAATAATGTTGACATAAAAGTGCCGTTTTTGCCAAGCAAAATTCATTAGAGATAACAGAGTTGAGTATTTTCATCGCAGAATTTTTGTACTTAAAGAACAACATAATAAGCACATTCTTTTCGGTTACGATTAAATCATTATCTACAATCAATCTAATATGCAATTACCATGGTTAAGTTGGTTAAATGATTTTTTCAAAATGTATTATAAATTGTTTAAGGCAAGTATTCTTAGTCAAGGATTCAGTGACTCACATATGAACATTATACTTGTCGTATACATACATACATATATTTGCGTTGATGAGGCGATTCCCAATCAAAAAATGATGTTACGAAATCATCAGAACGCCGCTTTAGTCAACTATCCACTGATGAAACCAGCATTTGTTTACCGACTTGCACCTACTGGCAACATTATTATAGACAAGATTGTTTTGAAGTATAATATAATAAACTTATCGTGATCAGTAAATATTCAGATTTTGATAGCACATTTTTCTTTATTATCTGGAACTGTACATACAACAGTGTGTGTGAGTGTGTGTGTGTGCAAAAGCTAACAAGTATATAGAGGGACCACAAGTTAAATAAAAAAGAAGCAGATTTACAAAACATGATGTGTGTGTGTGTATGAGTATATGTATGTGTGTGTGTGTGTACCGTACAAAAATAATATTTTTTACTTAAAAAGAAAAGCAAATGTCTAAAAACAGAGCACACGATCTTTTTTTAGGTAATAAATATGAGATTTAAAAACGTTAAGATTGCGCAATGAGCTAGATTGTATAGACTTTAGAATTTTGATTCCCCTGAGAGTCCTCCACTGTTAGATAGATTAAGAAGAAACTGTTTTTTAATCATCTGCCTTACCTACAAGTAGATGAGCATGTGCACTCTTTAAAAAAATCTAAGGATTGTTTATAGGCAAAACCACTTGAACAAGTCATACGAAAAAACCGTCGTTTAGGATCAACAGGGGTGCAACATGAAGGAGACGTTAAATTCATAGTACTATTATCTGCTGTCCATTTTGCTGCCGTTAAAGATGGCGAACGTGTTGCTCCCGAACAGGTTCCGATACATTTAGTCAATCTTAAACGTCGATTGCTTTGACATTTTGTTAATGGATCAATGTAATAGGCGGTTTCAATTGTTAAACCGCAAGACATGGGTGGTAAAACAGCTATAAAAAAAAGTATTGTTACTACTCAACAAATGTCACAGACGCTCATCTGGAATACCTTCGCTACATGTGATGCCTGTGTAATCTTCGTGACACACACATCTATAGGCCAGTCCATCTAGCAAACATTGACCATGTTTACAACTTGTTGGTGAACATGTTTTATTCATTAGATCATTATCATTACATCCTGGTAATATTTTATGACGATAATCAACATTTTGAAAATTAACAGTATCACCATTGATATAGAGACCATGGATACAACCTTGAAAATAATGGCATATCACATTTAGACTATATATTGATGAATTAATCGCTATTCTCTACCTTGAAATGATGTTGCTTCTCGTATATGCCATAGACTCAATGCACGATTTGTCAATTCATTCGGTAAACCTCCTACATATAAACTTTCGGTAATATTTAAATATTTTCGTTGTCCACGGTTAAAAATATGACGAGTATAACCCCGATCAACTGTTAAACTAAAATTTTGTCCTATTGATATCAATTGGAGTTCATGAATTTTACCTGAAACGGGAATTATTGTTAAATAGAAATACAGAAAGTTTTGTTCGTCTTCTTGACTAACCATCATTAACGGTATCATAACTAAACATAACTGATCCTGGTGAATTTCCAACATCGTAGCTAACTCTTACTCTTCCCATAAATAATTCGGCCACCATGTGTCCGATATTGCCAAAATACACTAATACACCGGTACTATTCGTTGTACTAAATACAATGGTAATATTTGATCGTGGATAAACATTTAGTTTTTGTAATTTGATGTAAGAATCATTTGTATTCAACGTAACACTTTTTAGCATATCACAACGATCACCAATAAAACCTGAAGATTAGACTAAGCGTGTTTTACTACAAACAATTAAATTTATTTACACACCATTCAGACATTTGCATTTAATTGATCCATTTCTCTCATAACATGCACCATTATTTAAACAAAAATCGGTTGAACATTGCTGGGCTTCAGAACTCTGTTGATAAGGAGCAACAACCGGTGGTATTTCACAAAATTTACCTTAAATTAGTAATTGCAATTTTAGATAAAAATCTTCATATATATTTTTTTAGCAAGGTTTACCGGTAAAACCAACATCACACTGACAAACATAACCATTCAATTTATCAACGCATATTCCAAATTGACAATGATGTGATTGACAATCATCAAAGTTTATAGAACAGTTTTGTCCTCTAAAACCAGGTTGACAAACACAACTAAAGGGAGAAAGAGAGAGAGAGAAAATCAGATGACTATGCAATTTATCATTGCTGACACATAGAACACACGTCTCTTACTCGTAACCACCGTTTGCCAATCGTACACATTGACCGTTATTTACACATGGATTTAAATTTATGTCACACCAATTTAATTTTTGTTCACAATATCGTCCTATACGAGATACAACAATAACATCCTGATATATTTTTCTATTTGGTATCTTATCTTACCTGTAAACATTGGTGGACACAGACAGTTGTAAGCATTTATTTTATCGATGCATGTTGCATTATTTTCACATCGATGTTGAAAACAATCGTTAATATTGATGTCACATCTATAACCTGTGAATCCTGGCATACAATGACATCTATTAGAATAAAAAAAATATATATAAAATTTTGAAATATTTAGAGCAGAGATTTTTCTATTCGTCACTCACCGAAATCGTCCATCTGTCAGTGCTTCACAACGTCCATCGTTTTTACATGGATTGTCAAAACAAGCATCAATAGTCATTTCACATTGTTGACCATGATAAGCTGGCATACAATCGCATTGATATTGTTCAACTGATAATGTACGACATGTACCATTATTTAAGCACGGATCAGTTAAACACGGATCACATTTTTGTTTATACCGATTCGATTCGCTATCGTCTATAAACGGCGAGATGTAGAGTCAGGTCTATAGTTCATCGGCTACATGAGCTAACACACTTACTATAACATTGGAAGAAGAATATTGGAGATGTTAATAGAAGTTTATTAGCCATTTGAGGAGGACCAGCACATCTTGCAATACCTATTACAAACATTTATTTATAAATAATAATATTAAGCTAATCAAGAGTACGTTACCAGGTTCAACATAATCGGTTTTAATCCATGATGATAACCATCCCAAATTACAATCACAATATAATGGATTGCCTCCAAGAGCACTTTAAGAAACAATACAAATAGTTCATTTTTATTCTTTTTAATCTGTCTCTTTTAAACTTACACATGAGATAAAGCTTGTAAATCATTGAATGATCCTTCCGGTATCGTTGATATTTCGTTTCCATGAAGTGATCTAATGATAAACATTAAATTTAAAAATCAACATTTTTAAAATCTGCTAATAGTAAACTTACAAAATTCTAAGATTTTTTAATCCTTTGAATGATGCTGTTTCAATACATTGAATTTTATTATAACTCAATATTCTAAAGAAACAAAAATGAATGCGTTTGCTGACCAGTTTATAATTTTCTTATAATTACAATGTTTCGAGTCTTGTGAGATTTTCAAATATTCTATCTGGTATTGATCGTAATTTATTATAGCTTAGATCACTGAAAATAATAAAATCTTAGATAAAATTCAGCTAAGTTAAAATCACGCAAACATTTATCTTACATTCGTACTAAATATGTTAAACGTCCAATTCCAGATGGAATTTCTTGAATATCATTTGCATCCAAATATCTACACACAGATACAAAATTTGAGAATTTGTATACTCTTTACAGTGAAAAATTCACAACATACAATTCTTCTGTATCAACCGGCATATCAATAAACGGTACTTTTGTTAATTGTGCATGACTACATCGAACAACATGATTATAACATGAACAATTTTTTGGACAATGTGTAGGATAACTAACATCACATTCATCAACTTCAGATGCTAAAAGAAAACGAACAAATTATATTGTTAATAATGTAACGATAAGCGATCGATCGTTATACTTACGATCACAAACGAAATCATCATCGGTCAGATTAACAATAGGAATATTTCGCAATTTTGTTGGTGACATACATCTAACAGAAAGAACAGAAATAAACTTTTGGTTAAATTTCGACAAGATGACTTACTTTGGATAACCAGTAACAATTTTACTTTGTTTCAACCAATCTTTCAACCATTTCATATGACAATTACAAACGAATGGATTCGATAATAAATCCCTAAAACCGATTATCGCGGTTGGTTAAATTTTGACGTTCGATACGTACATATTAAGTATGTTTACATACAGCGCTGCCAATGATCTTAGACGATCAAATGATCCTGGTTGTATACATTTTATTCGATTATCGTGTAATGACAATGTTTTTAGAACATCCATATCCAAAAATGTATCATTTTTAATATACGTTAATTTGTTTGCACGTAGCATTCTTAATAAAAATGTTTATGTAAAACAAGAAATTTTATTGATAATATATTAAGCTTACAGTGTTTTTATATTTTTTAAACCATTAAATGTCTGAGGTGTAATTGATTGAATATTGTTTTCAGTCAAAAACCTAAAAATCGACAAATTTTGTACACTTAATATGCTTAATATAGCTTTTGAGAGAAAAATGTGTGGTCATAATGAAATTCTTAGCCAATGATAGTTAGTTCAATCAAGATAAGTTCACAGTAAAATTCTAGCTTGAAATATTGAATTTTTCCAGAGTTATCTTAGTTACAAACGTTAAAAAAATAAGTGTTGCCATCTACAAGATTTTTCCTGTATTTTATGTTCCGAAAAGTTCGAATCTGTTTTAAACAGGTGAAATATCGAAGAAAAATTTTGTAAATGGTGGCAACTCGAAGTCAAAAAATGCGATTTTGAGAAAAATGAAAAATACTTTTTTTTTCGAAAATGTTATATTTCTTCAGAAATTAGATCTGAAAATAATTTGTGTATCTATTTTTATAAGTTTTTAACCATGCTTTGCGTACATTTATACACACCCATGTCACACAGATATTTCCTTGTGCGAACATTTTTTCCTAATATTTTTTACTACATTTTTGACTAACGTGGATGCTTTTTAATGGTATTAGACAACTATTGGAGACCCCACCAGGAATTTGAGTAGGCTCTGACTTCCTACTAAACTAGTCACTCCCCTCCCCCACTTTTTTGATAATACGCGTATTTTTACTTAGTAAATTATATTCAAAAATTTTTGGTGTTCAGGGTTATGGAAATTCATTGTAGAAAATGTGCCGAAAAGCCCTGAAAGCGTACTTTCTAAGACAGAAAAATGAATGCAAGCGAAAAAAGAGACGACATGTTCAAATCTCAAAATTGACCATTTTTGAGAGGATAGAACGTCTAAACGGTGCTACACTTAATACATACAATTCGTTCAAAGCAGAAGCACCATCGAATGCATCATCATCGATTTCTTCTAGACGATTGTTTCTCAAATCACTGAAGAAAATAAAAGAACATGTCTCTAAAATTCTCTCTTTAAGCATGATCGTTTTCACATACAGCGTTCGTAAACTTCTTAGACGTCGAAAACTTCCATCACGCGGCACACGTTTTATTTGATTGTCTTGTAAATGTCTAAAGACAAATGTTAACTAAAAATTATTTTAGATCCAAAATTAGAATGAGTTTTCATACGTACAATTCTGTTGTAAAAATTGGTATATCGTTTGGAATCTCTTGCAATTGTTGTCCACGACATGTTACTGTTGTACCATCGCATTGACAAAACTTTGGACATCGTAATCCACATTGACCACTATGGGCTGTTAATTCAAATTCCATTCGATCTTGAATAGATAGATACAACGAAGATAGTTATGTATATAAGATAAAATAGAACTAATTCTACTTCGACAACGAAACTTTCGATCGTTTAAAACACCGAATCTTCTTTTGGCCATTCTTCGGGGTGCCGCACATCTCACACCACTTGTTTCAATTTGTTTATCTCTTAAATAGGCATTTAACCATCTCAGATGGCAATCACATATAAATGGATTGCGAGCCAAATGTCTAAATATAGAATAATTATTAAATGATTCAGTAATGATTATCATTTACTTACAATGTCTGAAGGCTTTTCAACGGTATGAATGTCTCATTCGCCAACGTTTTCAATTGATTGTCATACAAAGACCTAACAATAATTCAAATATTAAAATTCTAAGAAATTAGATTAATTTTCTCAACGACAATGCAGTCTAGTAATACTTACAGTAGACTTAGTTTTTCTAATCCTTCAAATGCATCGCCACGAACACAAGTAATTTTGTTTGCATTTAATAATCTATAATATATTTTAAATTTTGTTAGAAAATGTACAAAATGTATAAATATAATAAATTAGTAAAAGCTCCCAGGTCAGACAATCGTAATAAGATTATACAAAGATCGTGCGAGAAATAAGAACTAATGTACTGTACGATCTTGTATGATCATATGTATTATTTAAAAATCATGTGTCATTCGTACGTACGATCTTGTAAAATCCGATAAGATTGTAGGTATGATCATTGTACAAATCCTGTAATTGGAGCACTGTGACCTTTTAGGGACCACGATTCGTACGGTGATCGTACCATTTCGTACGTATAAAGTAATACGATTATTCAAGATCATATCTGATCGTCTTCTATCTTGTACGATCCTCGACTTGCTCATACGATTCCTAGACCTGGGACAGTGTTAACTTGTGTAATCATGCGTTTACTTACAATAATTGTAAATGAGAAAGTTGATTGAAAATGCCAAGAGGTAAATACACTAGTTGATTGTTATATAAATGCCTAAAAATCCAAGCCCAATACATGCAATAGGATAAATGTGAATATATCATGCAATTCGCGAACTTAAAACGTTCGTTTATAATAAATATGAAAATTTGGATATTCACACACAGGGATATTTTTCTTTTCAATATATTGTGACAGTCAAAGTTTTATTATGTGGTTGATTTATAAAAATGTTCAAAACTATCAATGGCAAAACATGCATTGCTCCGTGTATAACAAGTCTATTAGGATATACTAGAGTACGTGCTTAATTTGTGTTTAATATAAAAAAACCATCACCACAATTATATGTACTCTGTGAGTACAGCAACGTTTTCATTTCACCATAACCCATGCGCGCGCCTCATTTTTTTACTCACAGCAACTGTAAAGCACTTAAATCACTGAATGCTCGAGAGGGTAACATTTTTAGATTGTTTCGATAAAGAATACTAAAAGATATATTACCATTTTAAAGAAGAATGGTCAGTTTTAAAGAAAATGTTTTGTCTTGCGAGAGACTTGAGTCCTCAATTTCTTCAGTATTGTCAAATTTTAGAGTACATGTAAAAACAATACGTACAGCGAATTTAATGCTTTTAGTCCCATAAACGAATCTGGATAGACGGATGATATTATATTATTGCTTAAATCTCTAGAATTAACGAAAATTTAATAGTTACACCAGTTATATAACATATTAAGTAAAAAATATTTTGGATACTTTTTTCGATAATGTATGGTACTTTCAACTTTACTCCGTTTGTGTTCATTAGATTGTTAGAATTTATTCAAATATAACACTGTAGAGGAATGTTATCTGTACAAAACAGGGTCAACTTTAATAACTTAAACCGCTTTTTTGCAAGCAAAAAAAACATTTAATAGTAAAGACAAATTTGCTAGATTTGCTCAATGCCGATACCGAGGATATTTATCATTTAACTTTTGTTTACTCATCCGACCAAAACTTTGACTGTTCTTGAAAACGTTTCAATTTGTAGAAAAAAAAGTTTCTGTCTAATCTAAAGATGGACTAATAAAATAGTTCGAAAGGAAACGTTTAAAGTACCAAACGGTATCGAAATAAGTAGACACTTCATACGCCATTAACTTACAATCGTCGTAATTTTTTCAAATGACTAAATACTTTTGGTGGTATTTCAATAATTCTGTTCTTTTCCAATCGCCTAAAAATCCATATTTTTTTGATTAATTGAACTCAGAAACAAAATCACAACTAATATACAGTTCAATTGTTGTATCTGGAATGTTCCTTGGAATTTCATTCAATTCTTTATCTTTACAATCGACAACACCATTGAAACATGTACATGGATGCGGACAAATTGGAACATTGCACGTATACTCAATATCATCAGCATCTGTAAAAAAACAGTCATAAGAATGTTTGCTTCTATTTAAAGAGTGTCTATCTGACTATGCTTACCCATACTATTGCACTGTTTTTCTTCCTCAACGAGAGATGTTATATCTTTATGATTTAATGTATCCGGTTGTTGACATCGAGCATTTAAACCAAGAAATGGATGTAATTTTAAATATTTTGCCAACCACAACAAACGACAATCACAAATAAATGAATTATCATGCAACCGTCTAAATGAGATACAATGTTTTATAGCGGTAACAATGAGGATCCCTCTTTTAAATATGATTTGTAAGAAGACATTATCTGTCAATATTTGCTCTACCGACATCTTTCTCATCGGTGTCATCGGTATCACTAGTTATCTTACCAACATATGCAATAACCCTCTCCTCCTTTTTCAAAGTTGTCTTCAATGTGCACGTCTATTATTCTACAACTAGATAGTGACTATACTTACAACACTCTCAAATCAAGTAATCGTGCAAGAGGCAACAATGGTAACGTTGTCAAATTGTTGTAGTTGAGTGTACTAAAAATAGTAGACATGCACTAGTGAACATCTATAGCACCATTACCATCAACATTAGCATGCTTCTATATTTATCTCTGTAAAAATATTTAGCTTCTAATTTATACTCTTTTCGACATGAAAAGCAAAGACGATTCAGTTTTTAGTGTGAAACAATAAGCAAGCGTCATTTGTGTGATTCAGTTCTACGATGCATTACTACGGCGTGTGATTTTCTCTTTTTAAACACATACACAATTTCTAAACGATTGAGACCATTGATTGCTTCAGCTTCAATACATGTAATCTCGTTGTGATCCAATTGTCTGTAAATAAAATTGTTTTCAAACATTTTCTATGTCTGGCACTGTCTCTGCTACTCACAAATTATCAATCTCAACCAATCCTTGAAACGTTCCTTTATTAATTGCTCGTAAATGATTTGAACTAAGATCCCTGTGCAAAACAAACAATGAAAGATTTATTAACTCTACTAAATGTTTGTTCTTGGCCGCGTTCAACTTACAGCCTTTGAAGTTGTTTGAGAGCTGAAAATGTTCCATCGAGAATATGGTTTAGTTTATTACTGTTTAATCGTCTAAAATAAATATACAGACAATAACATTGTATCTCCATTTTAGTGAATATGTCTGGCGCATGTATTTAGATGAAGAAAGAAAAACATCTCAAAACGATAGTATAACTATAAATTGATGATTATGATGATAATTATACAAGACAGGTACAATAAATACCATATCAATTATATATTCGATGAAGCGAACTATACATATGTACATACAGACTGAGAAAAAAATATATATTTCACAAATAACTATAATTTGAACTTTTTTATACAATAGTGCATTTGAAAACCTAATTTTTCTAGTAGATAAAGCCGATTAGTTAGATTTTTAACGAAAACTTTTGAACATCAGCTGATAACGTTGTTTAGTCCACCAGCCGAAAAAAAAAGAGAACAGATGTTTCTTAAGAAATAATAGTCACTTTAACAGAAAAGAACTCAAGAAAAAAGTCTATATATGTATATAAACTTGAATACTGGTAAAAGTAATAAACGACATCATAAATATACAATTGTACATTTTATGTAGGACAATGGTAAAACATTAATTTAAGGAAATGTGAACATCTGAATTCCAAGAATAAGAAAAGCACCTTTCATAACAAGCTACTCTAATGAGGGGAGCTATGCACACTACAATATACAGCACAGACGTTTAGTTTTTGTCATATTTTTTTTTTTGTTATGAGAAAACGTTTCACCATTTTTGAAACAAAGAGAGACATCCTTAGTCCTTCTGACGGCATTGGTAGGAGATCTGACGAGGAAACCTTCCCAGATGTTTAAAGCTTTAATAACATTTTTTTGAATAACATCAGTTTTTCTAGGGTAATTCTTGATGTTGATCGCGAATTTTGATGTCTATGAAAAACTGGTTTTAATCATCTGTGAAGGTTTTCTCGTCAGATCTTCTACCAATGCCGTCAGAAGGGCTAGGGATATCTCTCTTTGTTTCACAAATGGTGAAACATTTTCTCATAATAAAAAAAGATGACAAAAACTAATCGTCTGTGCTGTGTGTACACTGTTTCCTGTGTATTGTAGTTCGTATACATTGATGTCGTATCGTGGTCATAAATGAGCAATGGAACATACATATCAAGTGGACGACACTTTAACCTTATTGTTTAATTTTCTCATTAGACCTGTGATCATGATGAAAAGAAGTTCTACTTAAAAATTGACAAGAATATGACCGGATACTGATTCTTGATGTTTGACACAAATGACAAATACAATTTATTGTCTAAAGTATACTGAAAAACAGCAACAGCTATTAAGTCAATATTTCTCTCATTCTCTGATGACTGAGTTTCAATATATAGAACTTACAATTTTTCTAATAATATTAAATCTCGAAATGATTCACCATCGATCGTATGAATTTGATTATCCTGTAAATTTCTAAATAAAAATAAATAAAGTTATCAATCTTTGAACGACCAAAAGTCAATCCATTCTTTCCTCGTCACCTCTTTAGTCTTTTTGATTACATGTAATGTAATATATTTTTCATTCTTAAATCTTAAGCAAACTTATTGTGTTGATACTTTGTATGAAATATTATTTTAATCTGCTCTCTACTATAGTAAGTCATGTTTCGATTTATGATGAGACAATTCTTTCTCTTTTATACAATGATTCAATGATACAAAACAACATCTTAAGCCATTTTTAAATCTGTTAGTGACTAATACCAGTGAATTCGAACATGTTGATTTTAAATTTAGCTAGAACTGTATAATTTAAATTGACTAGTTTAAACGTACCTAACTAATGTTATAAGAAATAGTGAAAAATTAATTTTCCAATTTTCTAGTTTTATTCTCAACCGCGACAATGCATACACTCATTATTCATTTTGTCAAATGTCTGTCAGCAGCATAGCTTCGCGACTGTGTTATTCACCGTGCACTCAAAGGTACTGTAATCGAACATCGACGTCCAGTTGTATACTAATCAATTAAGCAAGTTAATTATGTCTTAGTGCTGCGGATCACTCAGCTGATGGCGCACTTCTTACGCTGTGGTGTACAATACATTTTCTCAACTTAATTTTCGTGGCTTTCCGGAAAGCTAATGTATGACTAGTAAGTATGTATGGAAAACTCAAGCAATAGAGCGAGAAGATCCTTGGGTCAGACTAGTCATCTGTTCATAGCTGCAGTTGACGATTAGTAACGGTATGGGTGAACCTGTCAGACGCTTGTCAACTATAGTAAAGCTATCGGGCTATTGAAACTGACCCTTGTCAACACTCTATTTGTGCAACGGTAGTCGCAAGGTGAAGTATTCTTCTTCTTTCTTCTTCTTCAGGTGTCTTTTTCTCGTCAATAAAAGGAATAACTACTAATAATACTTCCAATTTTACTGTTAAAAAAAGTTCTATTTTTAATTCAACAAGGTCATTCAACATTGTTTGTATACAAACATTTAAAAATGTATAATTTATTTTTTTATTTTAATAACAAAATCTTCTTTCAGTTGTCAATACTATCCACATGACCTTGTTAAATTCATTATTACCAATGATTTTAACCTTGTTTTCATATTGTTGAGAATCGACTAGGTCAAATTTATACCTTTATTAGTTTCTTAAAACAAAATTGTTTATAATAAGGGAGACGCACATTCATCAGCAGTTAACAAGATCAAAGAAATAAGAAAAAATCATAGAAAACATTTATACTTACAATATTCGCAATTGTCTAAGTGATTTGAGATCATCTTTGCGAATTATTGATAAATTATTGAACTGTAATTCTCTAAAAAGGTAAAACAAAAATATGAATAAGAATATC